GTTGCCGGACACGAAAAAAAAAAAAAAAAAAAAAAAAAAAAAAAAAAAAGAAGAAACAAACTATAAAAAAGTAAAGAAAACAAAAACATAATTTTGAATTGCTTTAAGAACTAAAAAGAAAATTTTAGAAGAAAAATTTGTTGGTGACGGTGTAAGAAAATAGTTACACTCATCATACATTATTGTATGTATGTATTATTATATTTTCAAAAACTAACTTAAATGAATCTTCAGGACCTAGAATGTAGAATGGCTGGAACCTGTGGGCTCCAGAGTATAAGGAAGCCTGCATGGATTCCTCCAGATTCCACCTGTGTCTTTTTCTCCTATGATCTGGCTGTGTATTCTTACCACATTGCTGTAATAAGTCTTAGCCATGAGTACAACCGTATACTGAGTCCCATGAGTGCTGAACATGGGGATAAGCGTTGGGGACTCCCAACATGTGTACTAAGTAGGTATTACTTCTGAAGCAGGATTTCAGAAAAGCATTAGGTATTATTCATTTTCAAGGAACATAAAGTAATGAGAAATCCAAATGAATTACCTGCACAACCAGAGCATGTCTCCTTAACACATACCTCTGAGATGCCATGTGAATAAAGGTTAGGCCTATACAGAGGCTATACAGAGGTTCGTGGGGATGGGTGCGAAAGGCTTGCACGTACTGTCCTGGAAAATGAGCAGTGGTGTTAGATAGTGTGACAAGGACAGAGTTGTTATTTCTTCAACAATTATTCAAATATATTTTGAGCCCAAACAAACATTACTGATTTTTAGCATATGTATACATTCTATCTTAAATATCAACCAGATGCACATTAATTTTAATTTTAAAACAACACATAACATAATTAGAAGAATTTCCCCATGAGCGATCCCGACCATGAAGATTAATAGGAGTAACTAGGGCTGGCCGGTTAGCTCAGTTGGTTAGAGCACGGAGTAGTAACACCAAGGGCCAGGGTTCAGATCCCTGTGCCGGCCAGTCGCCAAAAAAAAAAAGAGTAAAAGTACCCTTCTTTTAGGCACAGCTAGACATTTCCATGTGGAGCAATACTTTAAAAATAAATAATTTATTAATTGTGATTATAATTTATTTTAAGATCATAAATCTATTTTTAAAGCAATGAAGGAGTGTTGGTGAATTCTTATAGTGTTGGTGAATTCTTATATAAAATTAATTGATCTGTTTTATTAATTCAAATGTAATTAATCATGGAGGAGAGAAAAGGAAAAATAACTGTTTTGTTTTTTAGATTACAGGTGGTGTTTTCCCAAATGTAGCAACTACTTTGTTTTTCCTGAGAAAGCTAACTATATCTAATAATAACAGTTTTATGAATTCCATGTATTCCATATATACAATTATCTCATGTCAAAAGCCTAATCACATGAGCTAGAGGAATTTAAGAAAATTTTTCTTGTAAAGGAATAATCTATAATGCAACATGTACACATAAAAACTTCCATTCCTTCCAGCTTCTATTCTGGAAGGAACAAATACCACAAAATCTCTTTAGCAGCAAAGATGGTGGAATGCCATTTGGACTTTTCTATTTTCATTTTCTGTAAAAGTTTCTAATATAGGAAATTAAAATAAATTTCTATTTTATATTTTCTCAATATTAAACAAACAATTTCAGAAAGCACACACATCAACATCTGATGTTCACAGTTACTGGCTGAATGATTATGAAAATACCAACCATACACAAAGAAACACGAAAGTATTAAATAGCCAAAAATCACAGTTTACTCAGAAATGAACTTGGCAATACTAGCTTTTGGGCAGCAAGAAATACACGCCTGGGGCCGGCCCGTGGCTCACTCGGGAGAGTGCGGTGCTGATAACACCAAGGCCCCGGGTTCGGATCCCACATAGGGATGGCTGGTTCGCTCACGGGCTGAGCGTGGTGCTGACAACACCAAGTCAAGGGTTAAGATCCCCTTACCGGTCATCTTTTAAAAAAAAAAAAAAAGAAAGAAAAGAAAAAAAAAAGAAATACACACCTAATTTTAAGTTTAAACATTTGGTTAGTTATTTTTCTACTTATTTGTTTCTGATTTCTTATTATAGAAATTCCTTATTATAAGTGATTAATGAATTTTCCCTGAGTTTTGTTAGAATTAGTAAGCACCATATAAATAAATCTTGACATGATGACTTGCCTCCTAAAGGAATGAACTATCAGCACATCTTAAATCCTTTTCGTACTGTAGCAAATTAAAATCAGGTGGCAAAGAATCCATAATTAATGAAAAAATTTTAAAAACAAGAAAGCTTAAGCAGGGAAAATTGCTGACCTTTAAATTAATTATAAGACCTACATCAGCCTTTTACAACCAAAGCTTAATAAAAATAACAAATATTAATATTAATATCATTATTGCTAATACTTATAGCCACTTACTATATATACCAGGCACTATTTTAAGTACCTTATATTAACTCATTTAATTTTCACAATAATCTACAAGGTAGGTCCAATTATTATCTCCATTTTAGAGATAAAGAAATTGAGGCAGAGAGAGGTAAAATAATTTTCCATGGTGGGGCTGCTATTTAAATTTAGGCAGTTCCACTCTAAAGGCTAGGCTTTTAACCACCACACTGTCTATGCCTTACAAAGTCATGTGCCAGGGCACTTACCAAGCGCATGCTTAAAACTACCAGATACAAATGCATTGTGTCCATTTAAGACACACAGGGCATGATTATCTGGGTTTTTCAGCATTAAACGGAGACAGAAGCGATGATGCCGTACATCTTGGGAGTGCATGGTAACTTGATTAAAAATGTTCCAGAGCTGGGGTTTACTGACATTTTCCATTACCATTACCCTAAAATTGCAAAAGAGCGTGAGGGGGAAAATAATGTAAAAAGAGAATCTTCATGAGTTCTAAGAATGAAACCCTTCAGTGCTGTCCTACCAACACTGAAATGCACCATCCCCCAACAAGGAAAAGCAGACTGTTTCAATCTATTTAAGCAAAACCTTAGACAATGAAAGATTTTTTTCCTAGGAAATGCTACTTGAGTTAGTATTTTACATTTTTTCTGCTTTTCAACAAAATTATTAAACCAAAAAACAGAATCAAGTGGTTTAAGTTCACTTTTTTCTCTTCTTGCCCACTACAGCTGCAGTACAATGAGCAATGAATAATAACTGATAATAACGTGTGCCTGGAATTGTTAAAAGGCTCTATCTGGAAATAAAATTGATAATGTCCCCCTAACCCCCACCGCACACCAAAAAGGCTCTCTCTATAAAACTCATTTAACTCTCATAGTACCTCATAATAATCCTATGAGGTGGTGGTATTATGATGTCCCTTTATAAATTGGGAGACTGAGGGACTAGTGGTTAAGTAACTAGCTTAAGAAGGGCTGGGATTCAAACCCAGGAAGCCTGGCTCTAGAGTCTGTGCTCTTATACATAGCCTTAGAGAATCACCAGTGAACTGAATCAATCAGTAAGCATCAGGAAAGCTAAAAATAAAATAGCTAATTAATTCTTCAGTATGAGAGACTAAGTCAAGGTAAATGTACATACTCTATCAAAGAATATATTAAAATAAATTATTGGGAAGTCACCTGATATAGTTGTACGCCTGTCTGAAATTTTTGTCCAGAATTGCAGCACACAGACCAAAGTACTCTAGTTCCTTGCGTTTTTGCCTGTCATCATAAAATGAATAATATTCCAGTGAAGAATCTACAAGTAACTCAGCCTCTTGAAATCGGGATAGGTCACATAAGGAGTATATGGCCTTCAACAGAAGGTTCCACCAGTCATCTTTTGTCAAGACGCTTGTGAGTACAGCAAATATTGCTAAAATGAGACCAATGAAAACCAGTAGGACTGTTAGAAATTTCTCTTTTCCTTTAACAACCTTCTCTTATTTCTCTGGAAGAAGCCTCCCTTTTATTACCGTTGAGAAATATCAAAAGCCATAAAACATTTTTATTGTCTTTGATCTAATAATTCTTCTGGGTTTCTATCCTAAACAATCAAAGTATGGATACATCTATATGAAGATGCTCATTACATTATAACTTATAAAAGAAAATTATCAGAAGCAATCATATACCAAAAAATAATAAGGGAATGATCAAATACATTATGGAACTGCTATCCAATGGAATATTACACATTCCTTAAATACAATAGCTATAAGAGGATAGGGTAATATGAGGAAATATCTATGAGAAGATGTTAAGTCAAAATATCAGAGTGCAAAGTTTCATGTTAACATAAAGAGGCTTGGCTCATCCTATCCTGGTACACCAGTGTAATGTGATCCCTACCATGATGAAATTAACTAAGAAACAAACCAACAAAACCTTATGAGTCTTAAAAAAACAACAATGGACCTGAAATGTAGAATCACTAAAAGAAAACAGACAGAATCAGATATAGAGAAAAATATAACTTAAGGAAATATGGTCCAAAATACATGCTGCAGAGGTAGAAGCTGTTGGGATAAACCCAGAATCAATCAACTGAAGAGACTACAGGGCTCTGAGGCATGTAATGTTAGATTATGAACAGCTGAGCCCTCCAGCCCTTCCTGTCTCTAATAATGCCTATAATAACGATTTAATAAATGTTTTTTGAATTAATCAACTAACAATGAAATCATCTTCTACGAGACTGACATCTCCAGTTGAATTATGGTCAAGTCATTTCCAAAATTCTCTCTCTGAGTAATAACCTCGTCTAAACATACTTGATGCTTTTCCAGCTAAAAATAGATGCCTTTTAAAATTATATTATTTGAGACTGGGTCACAGCAACTTATTTGCAAAGAGTTTCTCTGACTATTGCTACATTTGACAAAAATGAATTTAATAGAAAATGGAATACATGTAGTTGAAGTGGCTGGACAAATAACCTGTACTGTCATCTAATCTTCACAAATTTCTTAAAATATATTTTCTTCTTAAAAAATAAAAGTTGTGTTTTTTTTCACGGAAAGATACAAGCTGAGGCTCTCCTTTTAATAATTTAAAATAAAGTATTTACACTTAGCCTTTTTTTAAAACATCTAATGAGTTTATTATACTTAAGAGATTTAGATTTAAAAATTTCGTTTTATTTGAAAAGAGTGTATTTTCAATTAGATTACTGTCAGATGTTACTTCTTGAGTCTTTTTCAATTCAGCCAAGTTTTATATAATAAAGCAACTGAAGTAATTACCTTTTGCATCACAATTTGCTGTCTCCTGGTCATTGTTGTCTGATATTTTGTCTCTTGATACTTTAATAAGGTAGAGATGCCTCTCTCCAGATTTGGAACTGGATATCAAACAGACTTGGGCTCTATTCATTGCTACCTGAATTAAAGATGATAATTTGAGATTTTTTGATCAATAATTTCTTAAAGACAACCTATGGGCCACAAGTGTGACTGAAAGCTTCTTTAGTAGGGAAAAAGATATCAAACTACTACACTAAAAAATACCTAAAAGTAGAATTAATTGACTTTTTTTTTCCTTACCAAAGTAGTTTGGGGTCACACTATGCACCTTAGAAGGGAAAAAGAAGGCAATTCACATAAACTTTATAATATGTACACACACACACACACACACACACTCTCTCTCTCTCTCTCTCTCTCTACAAAAAAGACAGACTCAGAAAGGATGTCAGATCTGGAAAACGTTTTTGCAAAGTGAACAATTTTGGCACATAGTGCTTTGTCTGCAGGGCCAATAATTGGTCATACTACATTTCTCACTTTTCTAAGTATGCATTAGGAAAGATTTCATTTCACTTAATTTACAGTCAAGTTTATACTATCATGTAGAACTTTCAATTATATACTACTAATCTCTAAGTCTTTTGTCTTTATCTGATTATCACTTTCAAAAGTTCAAGTATAATACAGTAAAGCAATTACAAAGTAGCTATAATCTATGCTTAAATAAAATATTCAACATTTAAAAAGTCAACAAGGCTAATATAAAGAAAGATCATTACCCACCTTTAAAAGCATGGCTAACATGGTAAGTAAGGTATCCACATAACCATACATTTTGCCTTGTGAAAACAACAAAGTAGAACGATGAAGCAGTAACTTTAGTTCCTAAAAAGCACATGATAGTAAGTGTGACAAGATTCCTTTTTTATAAGTCATTTTATTTGCATAGACAAGTTTTGTTTTAGAAACCAAACTTTGAGAACATTTGCTTTATGATCTTTCAAAATAACTAAGATCCAATATTTTGGAAACTATAATTTATAATATCTAATAAGTGCCTAAAACTTAAGACTCAAAATCATTTTTCAAAAACACTAAATTTACTACACTAAAATAAAACTTTGGATATAAGCTCTACAGACATCTTTAACTGAGGAGAAAATTCTAAAATAGAATATACCAAAAAAACTTCCTTCTATCTTACAAGGCATACCTGCTGTGCGGCATTTGCATCCTGGGCTAAAGTATCTGGATCATACATTGGTTCCAGAGCTTCCAGAGCTTTCTCAGGACGGCCCAGCTGCTGCTGAAGGGTAGAAAGTGAAATTCTTGCATCCAAATGGAGCGGGGCCAGATCAACTACTTTGCCATAGCTTTCAGCAGCACGCTCCATATAGCCCAAGGCCTTTAAACATTCTAAGAAAATGTCAAAATAAAGCATAAATATGAACTACAGATTTGTAATTGCCCAAAATTACTTTTCCACTTTTAAAGAAATATTATAACAATATAAAAAAAATTAAACAAGAAAGAAATGAATGGATATTTCTAGTACCTTGAAACAACTATTCCTTCTAATCTCTATCTATTGATAGCTCAATCTAAATTATAACAATATAAAAAAAATTAAACAAGAAAGAAATGAATGCATATTTCTAGTACCTTGAAACAACTATTCCTTCTAATCTCTATCTATTGATAGCTCAATCTATCAGTCTCACTAATGAAATTCAAACTGCCACTAGGATGTAATCAGTGTGCACATACAATGTGGGGTCTGCTTTATTCACTTAGCACTCTGCTTTAAACATTTTTGCATGTCTTAATTGGCATTCTGAATGATTATATAATAATCAATCAAATTGTTTACCTGAAACCATATTGACATTTAGTTTCCTCCAAATTTTTAACCTAATAAATAACACAGCAGTGAACAACTTCGTGTTTATAAGCCAGAGTTCACAACTGACAGACCAATCGAAGACACAAATGTGTTTTATTAGGTCACAGTGCTTGTAAAAACCGTTAACAGCCTAAATTTTTAAAAATTAGGATTCTTATAAAATCTACAGTTCTGGATTCTTTTGAAAAATCTGGATTTGGCAACGATGGTGGCCCCCCATTCCCACATGGCACATCAGCCCATGCTAACAAACAGCTCTTCGTATGGGGCTCTCCAGGTCTCACCCCTCCCTCCCACTCTTACTTGTCCACTTCACTCATTTTTGTTACCCGCCAGGCTCCCAAAAGTTTCATGATCCCTAATATTAACTGCCTCCCCTCACTCCACTCAATTAGTTCCTCAGGGTAAGTTCTCAAAAGTCAGGTTATGGGCCCTATTCCTCAAACTTCATGCCCAATCAATCACTAAGTCCTACCATTTGAACTTGAAAATGAATCCCCATAAGCATTTCTTCTTTCCATCCTGATGGCAGCAACACTAATCTAGGCCCTTTTCATCTCTTTCCTTTTCCACTGCAGTTATCTCCTAAGTATTTTTGCTTCCAGCTGATTTCTCAAATCTATCCTGACCATAATCTTTAGGTTAAATTTTGATATTAAAAGAAGAATACTATTATGAATGGACCATCACAGTGTTATTTCTTATTTTTTTCATTTTTCAGTTTTAAAGATACTTTGTTACACTACAGTTATTACATTACTCTAATGATCTTTCTCATATACTGATCCCAGATTTCTTTATGATTTTCAGATGACTCTGAGGTTTTACCTTCCACTCATCTCAAGCTACATGAGCTTAAAATGGAAATGGCATTTATCAGAATTATGATCATAAATAAATAGGATTTCAAAAGTATCTACTATTAGCAATACAGGAGCAATTTCAGTATCACAACTTTAGAAAAGCAATAAAAATTCAAACTCCCTGCTCATGTCTTTAAAATTCAAATCTCACAAATAATATAACGTTTTATGATGGTATTAAATTTGTAATCATGTTCACTTATCTAAACAGAAAAGTGTTATTTTAATTATTAAGTGCTCTCTTTCCTAGTTCATATCTGTAATATGAGTGAGCTACTGTCCTGAAATGTCAATCAACGCTTCTCTACTTACAGAGAACTTTCTGCCATCAGGTAATATTTTAAACCAAGAGTATTCAATTTTTAATGAATCTTTTATGTTGACTCAACAGGAAATCCTATTAGAATATTTTTTGCTTTTATCTGTTTCTTCAAGAGATTTAGTTGTGTTTCTTAAGCTATTTTTTCCACTCCATTTAGATTTATTTCAGATTACCGTGGACTTTTAAGCACAGTGAAATAAAATGATTAATAATATCCAATCTTGAGCACTGAAAAATAACATTAAATTTTCTCTCAAATATCATATTAAACACAAATCTGTAAAAATTCAAAAATTAGATTTCACCCCAAGTCTGACAATCCATTAATAGAAATCAGAGCCTGTGGTTAAGACAGGTAAAAGTCAAGTGTTTAAGGTACATGTTAGTCCTCCCACTTCATTCTGATACCATTAAGTGAATTGTTCCTCCAAAGCATTAGTGAGGGGAAAATCACCTAACAGCCTAGCAAGACAATTTTTAATACTGACATTCAAAAAACTGCACTGAAACCAGAAGTACTTGCACTAAGAAATTAATATTTTATAATATTACTACCATCTTAGGAAAGTAAATTCTGGCCTGCTTATATGATTCAAACTTCTCCCACCCACAAAAAAAGTATTACCTGCATGCCGAAGCCAAACTACTGCAAGGTTGTATCTTTCAGAACAAACAAGTGCACTGAGGAGGGGAAGTGCAGAATTATATTCACCAACATCCAGAAAAGCCTCAGCAACATCTAGGTAGAGGTCTCCCATATCTTCAGGATTCTGTTCCACTAGTGTTGTCAAGAGAGGCTATACCCAAAAAAGAGGCTGAAGTCAAGCATTCATTACAAACATACACTCTATCTATAGCTCTCTTTTTAACATACAGAAGTATGTCAGTTATATGAGGCAAGCTGGAAAGAAGCAAGGCAAAATAAAACAACTTTAAATGATCATTTTTCTACTCATTGCTGTATCTCTATTAAAAAGAACTCATACTTCCATCATTCATTCGTCACATTTTATGGACCTGTTAAAAGGCAGGCACTGCAGGAAATAAGACAATGCTGATCTGTTGTGCTCTTCTAACAAGCCAATCATACCCGTGCCTCAGGGCCTCTGTGTTTACAGATGTTTTTGTAAAGCTGTTCCCTCAGATATCACCATGGTTTACTGCCTCACTTCCTTCAGGTCATTATTTAAATGTCACCTTTTCAGAGAGGCCTTTCCTTACTCCCCTGTTGAAAACTGCAACTTTACTCCACCCCCAATATATTCCCTATTTTTCTTCTTTGATTTTTCTCCAGAACACTTATCACCAACCAATATTCTATATATTTTATATATTTAATTTGTTATCTATCTAATCCTATTAAAACAAAAGATCCATGAGGGTAGGGATTTGTATATTTTACTCAATACCTTATCTTGAGGTCTACAAGTATACGCCCAATACATTTTTTCTTTAATGAAACACCTGGTCCAAAGTCAGCAAAAGAGAATAGATGTCAGAATTATTACCAACTGTCTGAAGGCTCAATCTCAAATTCTGATCTCTACATTATTCTCATTTTAAAAGAAAAATAAATAATTATAAGCCCAATTGCAAAACATTTTTAGCTTTTATAAGACATTCATACAAAAATAATTTAATCTTTATTGTGACCTCCATGGTTATTAAGACATGTGAAAATCTGGGTCAAGTTACAATTTCTTGTCATCTAAAGAAAACAGATTGTGGATTTGATCTGCAGTGCCTCAAGTGCAGGTCTTAATGTTACTTACATTAAGTGGCTCAAGGATGTTGAGATGTACAAGGCAGACCATCAACTTCACTGTGATATCTATTGGTACACCATCAGGTATAGTGCAGGTAACATTCTCACCAGCTGTGGCATAGACAGACCAAAAGCAGTTCCTATATGCAAGCTTAGAATGTGGGGGCAACTGAAGCAAACTGTTATCTTCTATGTAAGATCTAATTTACTTCATGCAAAGCAAATGATTCCACAGTCAATTCTAAGTCTGGCCAACTCTATTACCAACTTCTTATGCCTCCTTCAGTCTGTCCTTTGGTTGCAATTATCCTTCCTATTCTTTCCTAATATCTACTTATCTAAAACATACATAAACTTCTACACCTTCTATCAAAACTACAAAGAACTAAAAAGACAAAAATGACCAAGATGTATGAATTCTTTTATCTTCCTGATTTCTAAAACTTCATTACAGCAAAACAATTTTTAAAGCCCTGGGAAATTAGTTAAAGGAATTTTTATCCACATTTAAGTTATTTTGTATTGTAAATTCCAAATAAATTTATGTTTCCATTTCTGGAAAACCTGAAGTATAGAAGGACATTAAAGATGTATCTTAAATGGTGGAATACATTAAAAATTACTTCAAAAATTAAATAGTTTCATCTGTTTTCTAGAAGTACGTCTAAAATTACCAAGTCATAGGAGGATTTGGACAGGTTTAATTGAGACCTTTTTTTATCACTGAGCTCCAAGACAATAACTGACATCAGAAATCTAGCTTAGATATTTATTCCGCTCAATGAGAGGAGAATTTACCTACCATGTAAATTTACTCACACTAGACCATAAGCTCCATAAGGATAAAGACCATGTCTATCTGAGTCAAGGCTATATTCACTGCATAATTCTTCTGTAGACAGGAGCTATGGTCACTCATCTGAATAAGGACTAAACACAACGTGGGCATTTTAATGAGCCTTTTGACTTTACTAAAATGGGCTTCTACCTACATAATATGAGGCTACTTTTAAAAGTTCATGAAAAGATTTGTATTTTTTAATTCTATTTTTCTATGAAATTTTTTTTTTTTTTTTTTGGTCCTTTTCCATGTCTGGCAACGGATCACAACCCCCAGTGTCGCCCCCGCACTGGACCGGGACCGGCAACGGGATCGCAACCCTCGGTGCTGCTCCCGCGCCCCGCTCAGCCTGTGAGCGGGAACCGGTCTGTATGTGGGATCCGAACCCTTGGCGGGAGCGCCGCCGCGCTTCCCAAGCGGCGCACCATTGCAGTGCGCCACCGGGCCGGCCCTCTATGAAATTTTTGAAGCACCCACATATATAGGTTCTATATTCCAAACTCTTATTGTCATCGCAGTGCGCCACCGGGCCAGCCCTCTATGAAATTTTTGAAGCACCCACATATATAGGTTCTATATTCCAAACTCTTATTGTGATTTTCTTTCTAGAAATACCACTTGCTATGGTCTGAATGTTTGTGTCCCCCCACAATTCATACATTGAAACATAACCACAAAGTGATAGTATTGAGGTAGGGTCTTTAGGAGGTGGTGGGATTCATACCGTCATAAAAAAGACCTCAGGGAGCTTGTTCACCCCTTCTGCCATGTGAGGACGCACCAAGAAGGCACCATCTATGAGGAAATGTCCCTTCCTAAACACCAAATCTGCTGGTGCCTTGATCTTGGACTTCTCAGCCTTCAGACTATGAGCAATAAATTTCTGTTGTTTATAACTTACCCAATCTAAGGTATTTTGTTAGAGCAGCCTGAACGGACTAAGACAGTGTTCAATAAAATATATGTCTTTTAACTTTCAACGAGTAAGGTAAGTTATAGTATATGAAATACTTTAAATCTCAGCATACCCATTAAAGATACAGTGTATACAGATGTATAAATAAAAAATCTTGCTTTCAGAATAAAGTAAAACTCAACTTTATGTTGAATACTAGATGCATACCTAAAATCAAGTGAAGGGTGAAAATAAAAGGACAAGCAAAGGTACAGCAGGCAGATGCAAACAACAAGAAAGTAGGAGGGTCACAGTCTCAATATCAGACAAGGTAGAATTCAGGTCAACTATATTTAAAAGGGGAAAAAGGGTACTTTATAATGCTACAGGGCAGTGCTATTCAAAGTGTGGTCTGTGACCCTTGCTGGTCCACAACTGTTACCAGTTCAATCAAATAAGCACAGAGATTGAGAATATTTAGATACTTGAATGTTGATTTGGCAATGCTAAGGATGGTAATACAGTAGTCCCTCCTTATCCCCAGGGGATACTTTCCAAGACCTCCAGTGGATGCCCGAAACCTTAGATAGTACCAAACTCTATTACTGTCCATTGGAACATCTTTCTGGTCACATCTTGCACCCACAAATTTAATCCCTTTTCCATCTTAACTAAGCATTTCTCATGCACTGTGGCCTAACTTTTGCTGTTTGAGGTGAAAAAGCAAAACTAACACTAATTTATTTTTCCTTTTTCACAATTTCACAGATAGAAGATTTGTTCTTACCAACTTCAGCATATGATTTTTTTTCCTCAAGACTTTCACCTTTTCACTTAAAGGAAGCACTTCACAGCTTCTCTTTGGCATATGTGAATTGCCAGTATCACTATGCTTTGGGGCCATTACTGAATAAAATAAGGGTGACTTGAGCATAAGCACTATGATATAATAGTCAATCTGATAACCAGGACAGCTACTAAGTTACTAACCAGCATGTAGCATATACAGCATGGATACGATAAAGGGATGATTCACATCCCGGGCGGTACAGAGAGCTACTAAGAATGATGTGCAATTTTAAACTTATGAATTGTTTATTTCTTGAATTTTCCACTTAATATTTTCAGACTACAGTTGACTTTGGGTTAAATGAAACCAGGGAAAGCAAAACTGCAGAAAACAAAACAGTGGAACACAAAACCACAGATAAGCAGTGAGTACTGTATATATACTTATAGTCCCCACAAGAGTATATGATTCGTTATTAACTATATTTAACAGCACTATCTTTTTTTTCACTTGGCAGATGTTTAGTACAGGGATCTAACTTTGGTGTTATCAGCACCATGCTCTAAACAACTGAGCTAACCAGCCAGCCGTAACAGGACTACTCTTTAAAAACATGTCTCTGTTTCACTGGCACTTCATTCTCCTGAACTCCCATTAGGTCATCCACATTTAGGAGAATTAAAAAATATGAACCTCAGTAGCAATGCTTAATCTACCAATAATTACTCATTTTCAAAAATGCATATTAAAAAACAACTACTTTTGCTCACTTTGGAAGTGTTTTAACCTCCTAGTCTTCTGAACATACTTTTTCTTTAAAGCTATTTTATCAACTCTAAGATGCCATATATTTCAGATGCACTATTATTTTATGTACTAAGAAAAACACTTATGTTTAAACTCTAACCTGTCATTGATTTATGTTAAATATGCTAAATCATTAAGTAAGGAAGGAAAATAAAATCAATGAAACACAGTAAAATATATTAAGCAACAAATGACTAATCATATTTATAATTAAAACTTGGACAGAACATTGTATTTCTTTAATATTTTCCAAAGCAAAGGACAGCAACAATTTTCAACACAAATGTAATTTTTTAGAAGAAAAATCTTAAACAGAAATTATGACTACAGAATAACTTAATTGGGCCTCAGCTCTAACCTGGGCCAGGTCCAAGAAAAGTATCAAAACAGGCAGAGTCCTTCAAATGCTCTAATCCATGCTTTCATACCACTACAATTCCTACTCCTTACTCATTCATACCACCCTGGTCACTCAAGAGCCCCAGCCAGCCAGAGTACGCTACCTGATCCTGCCCATACCAACCAATGCTCCCAAAACTTGTGACTCAATCTGGAACAACTTTCCCATGGATTTCTGCTTAAATTGTGCCTCTTGAGCTAGCCGGTTAGCTCAGTTGGTTAGAGCACCACCTTGTAACAGCAAGGTCTAGGATTTGGATAATGAAAACAAACAAACAAACTGTGCCTCTATAAACATCCTCTAATCCTTAGTATACTGCCCTCCTCCATTTTTCCATAATATCAATTTTATTACAGAAATTATCACACAACTTCTGTCACATTTAAACTGTATACACTTCATTTGAACCCCTCTTCCCCTTCCCACTTCCTTGAGGACAGGAAATGTCATACTCATCTGTGTATTCCCCACACACTAAGCATAATCTCTTATAAGAAACTTATTGAACTGAACTTCCCTTCCCCAGTAACTTTCCACTTCAACATTTATCTGTCCCATATCCCATCTTGGGTCCTGCTCTCTATGAACTACTACTCGCCATTAGGATGGATTATATTTTAAATAAGCGTTTTTATTTTTGAATAATTTTGCCTTAACCCAAGGGATTACATAATGATGGAATTTTCAGGCAACAAGACAGCCCAGGGAGGGAGCTATTTTGAAACAGCCAGTACTCAGTATCAACTTGCTCCCCCCTTCCTTCGACTCCATCAAAATCCCCATAGGGTAGGGGTGAAAGGTACTTCACAGGAATTCTTTAAAAAGAATAGGAATGCCTACTTGCCCATAAAGAAGACCAATTTTGTTACGACCTCAGATAGGGTCCTGCATGTTAATATATTCACAGAATAAGTTAATGCGTGCAGTTAAAGAAAAGAGCCAAGATGAGGGAAAGAACTGAGAGAGACCCTGAAAGCCACACTTCAGGTAGTATGACTTTTTTTTTTTGGCAGCCAGCCAGTATGGGGATCCAGATGACTTTCTAATCATTCTTTTTATTACACATTTTGAGTTTTCAAACAATGTAGGGTAGTCACATTAATTTCTACTTTTTACATAAATACTTAAGCTTAAAGTAGAATTTTTTAAAAGAGATCATTTTAAGTCCTTTTAAAAAAGTAAATGTCTTAAGATCTGAACGTTTTTGATAAGCTATTCAGTAATTTATTTTTTCCCTGTAAGAATGAATGAAAAAGACCTTGGGTCAATGAGAAATGCCATATTCTAATGGACATATTGAGAAATAAAAGGGACTCAAAACAATTTCTTTAAAAGATTACTTTTAGGGCCGGCCCGGTGGCGCACTGGACACCGAGGGTTGCGATCCCGCTGGGTCAATGAGAAATGCCATATTCTAATGGACATATTGAGAAATAAAAGGGACTCAAAACAATTTTTTAAAAGATTACTTTTAGGGCCGGCCCGGTGGCGCACTGGACACCGAGGGTTGCGATCCCGTTACCGGTCAGTAAAAAGACAAAAAGGAAGAAAAAAAAAAAAATTACTTTTAAAAGTCAATAAAGGAAAAAGACATGAAATCTCTCTGAGGAAAAAAATCCTTCCTGGGAAAACTTGTTATGGAACCATCAATTCAAAATACCACTTTATGAGCAAGAGGTAATTATATACAGTTTCATATGCAAAGGAAACTACAACCTTTATTCTCTTCTGAGGTTCCTTCTTCTGAAGCTTTTTTTTCAAGCACAATTCCAGAAAAATCTGTAATTACCTAAAAGAATGGGGGAAAAGGATATAATATTTATGTATGAAAATCCTTTTCATAATGCAAAGATTTATACAGTTAATTCAAATAATCTCTACAACATAAAAATGGGCTATAAGAAGGAAAAGTCTTTCTAAAATAAGGAACCATGATACATTAACATTTTTGTACCATATTAACTAAAGCTAACTAATGATGATTCAAACTATGATTAAAAAGTGAATCATAGTAGTCTGACTGTTGAATCCCGCTACCCTGAAGTAAACACACTTCATAATTGTGATAACGGCGATAACTTTTATCAAATGAAAACTGCATTTTATATTTCATATAGAATTACTACAGAATCTAGAAATCTATTTTTTCCACATAGGCTTTAAATATATAAATAATTTAATATATAACTAAAATAAGGAACTGCTAATTTTAAAAAATTTCTAGAACAAAGAAACATGTTCAAAACCTAACAGAGAAATACAGAAGCATTCCTACCTCCAAAGCTTTGTCATACTGCTTGTTAGAAATATATAGTTCAGCTGCTATGTTAACATCTTCCATGGAGACTAGGCCCTGGTGTTTTGAGAGAGCTTCGTCAATTATATTAATAGCTGAAGTAACATCATTGGCTTCATAGTAGCTCCTAAAAAAGTAAATGGCAAAATACAGTCAACTTTTGTTCTTACTACTCTGCCAAAAGTTCTGATCTCCATGTTGCTAAATCTCACTGTCAATTCTCAGTCCTTATTTCATGTGATCTATCAGCAGTATTTCACACAGATGAGCATCCCTGCTCCTTAAAGTGCTTTCTTTAATACAATTCTGGAACATCATGTTCTCTTAGTTTCCCCCTACTTTATTGGCCATTTCCTTTTAGACTCCCTGCTGTTTCTTCCTCTTCTCCCCGACTTCTAAACAGTGGAGTACGTCAGGATTTAGTCCTCAGAACTCTTTTCTTTTCCCTCTCTGTTTCTCTCCCCTTCCCTCCCTCTTCCTTCCCCCAAACAAACTTGCCCAAGTGCGTGTGCATATATGCACACACTCGCTCACAGTTGCTCACAAGCACATGCACAACTCACATCCCATACTTATCAGAAAATATTGAGAGCTCTGCCTTCAAAATACATCCAGAATCTGATTACTTCTTACCACCTACTGCTGCTTCTACCCTGGTCCAAGCTACCATTTTTCCCTTCCACGTATCACTGCAATAATTTCCTAACTCGTCTCTTGCTTCTGCCCTTACCATTCTTCAGTCTATTTAAAGAGCAGCCAGAATTGGTGCATTTAAAATTTAAACCGGATCACATTATGTTTCTACTCAAAACACTCCAATGGCTTCTAAACTCATTCAGAGTAAAAGCCAAAGCCCTCACAGCAGCCCACAAGTGCTGAATGATCTGTTCCTCTGATACCTTTCTGCCATGCTCCCCCTGCCAAATCTTTCAGCATCCAGTTTGTTCCTTTGCATACCTTTGCATTTGCCATTTCCTTTATTTGTGATACTCTTCCCCTAAATATGTTACCTTCAGTCAGTATCATAACACATGTAATTAAGTCCTTCTCTAACAACCCTATTTTAAAATAACACACCCCCAAACTTCAAATTCCTATCCCCTTTCTCTGCTTTATTTTTCTGCATATATGTATCAACATCTGACATACTAAATATTTACTTGTTTATCTGTTTATTGCCTGTCTCCTCTAATAGAATGTAAGCTCCACAAGGACAGGAGATTTTAAAAACTTGTTCAGTACTGGGTCCTCTAGTTCTTTGTACAGTGCCTAGTGCATAAGATATATTCAGTAAGTATTTCTGGAGGGAAAGTAGGGACTGAAGGGAAAGCCTAATTAATGAGAAGTTACAGTAACAGGAAAGACCTCTATGGCAGCAGCAGAACTGGCCATCATCACTGTTCCCCAACAAAAGTATTATAAAACAAGTGGAAAACAAATTTACTATAACAGGCTACCTAACAGATCATAAAGTGGAAGCCTACTGGAATATGATACTATGACAGCTTGAGACTTATCTAATAGCAGATAACCTGGGAAGACCCTCAAGGCTCATGGTACACCATTAGGATGGCATTACCTCAACAAATTTCATAAAACGGCTTCTAGTATTCCTGCATAACTCATTCCTGAAAGGGTAGGAGGCAATTTCATAGCTAAGCATCATCATGATAAAGGCCATGGAATTAATAGAGGTAACCCTAAAGTACCCAGCTCAAGATGGTTAATCCTAGGCTGAAATACTACATAAAAGATACTCCTAGAATAGAAAGCACACCAGAAGGCATTACTTAGACAAAATGTTTCCTGCTTTGTTTTCCTGTGCAGCATATCAGAGAAGTAAATGAAGTAGGGCATATCTCAGAATAAAACATATACCACAGTCAGTAACATGTGCCAAGTATAAAAGAAAACTTTTAGTCTTAAGATAAAATGATTATAGAAGATCCCAGATCACAAACATTTATTTCACTGGGACATCTGCAATAAAAAATATTTTTTAAAAATGTTGCAAATAGGGCTGTTGGTTAGCTCAGTTAGTTAGAGCACAGTGTTGATAACACCAAGGTCAACGGCTTGGATCCCCATACCGGCCATCCACCAAAAAAAAAAAAAAAAAAAAAAATCTGCAAATATACACAACTTCAGCTGAGGTATAGACCTGGGAACCTAATCATCCTTTCAGAACATGCCCCATTTTAAACTTCTGAGCACTTGAAATGTAACTGTACATACAAAATTTTCTAAACAATCACACAACTGACTTAGAAACTCAAAAGTACTGCAACTCAGGCACAATATAAAAAACAGATGGCAAAACACTTTCTTGAACTTCAATGAAAAGTAAATTCTATTTCAAACATATGCTTTGATTTACAAAATAAGATGATTAATAAGAGTATTGGATTATACTTCACTCCAAACTTACTTTGCCATATCTCTAGTCAATTGCATAAAACGTTCTCCATCAGAAGGAGACAAAAGGTTTAAAATACGCCTATAACCATCCATGGCCATTTTATGATCACCCATCTGTTCATAAAGGCTTGATCGCTCCCACAGATAACGGACATTAGTAGGTTCATATTTAAGAGCTGAAAAAAAGAAAGGAATATAAATTACGTATTTGCCACAAAAAGGACTGCAGGGTACTTGGGTGTGACCCATCATCTCAGAAAATTTTTTAAAAAAAACACTTTAAACTAATTCTCCAATGGAACCAAGGGAGTTATTCTGGAATAAATTTATCTTCACAGGAACTCTTGATTAGGTTTGATCTAAGACCAGGTAGAACCCGAATCTCTATATTAATCTTTATTTGGTCACTCTAGTCTGACGTTAACCCTCAAGAACAACTTAGAACCAATGCTGGTTTCAGTGGGAAACTGAAGGTACTGTTCATTTACCAACTTTTGTGTTGTATTAGCTCACAATATAAAAAAAAAAGTCACTCATAAACATGAGAACAGAGGTACCCCAAATATTTACCTCTGATATAACAGAATATAAGAAACAAATATATTTCAGCCAATATCACATCCCAGAGAAGGAAGTGCAATTATCAAAAAACCTATTACGTAACATTTTATCAAAGTGAGAAAAATATTTTAATTACCTTTTGTATAGCAAAAGATAGCCTGCTTAATATTGTCTTGTTCCAGAGACATTTCTGCCAGTCTAACCCATTCTTCCGTGTCACTGGGATTTAAATGTGCAGCAATCAACTCAAACTGCAATGATTTCTCCATGTCGCCTTGGTCCTCATATATCATGGCCAGAGTAGAGAATGGCTCATAAGCCAGAGGAGCTATAATGAATTAAAAAATTAATTCCATTGGCTGAGGGAAGAGGCTTGAGCTGATGTCAATCCTATTGTTCAAACTGTGAGTCTTTTTTTAAAATACCTAAATTCTTTAAATCAATCTAGCAGAATTACACAAACTACTTAATGGAATTAAGAGTAAATACTACACTATTTGCTTTATTTTATTTTCATACATTTTTAAAGCATTATCTTGTCTAAGTGAAGTATAATTTCATTAAAAATCCTACTCTCCATCACACCTTCCTCATGAAAATTCCCCTTTGCTAAGGGTAAACATAGCTCAATAACTCAGCAAGTTCATCCCAATGAGCATCAGCCACATCAGTGGTGTTGAACCTTCATGATCTAGCTCCTACACCAAGGAGTATGGGATGAATGGAAAGGTATACTTAAGCAGCCCCTAAATGCAGGATATCAAAGTGAATGGTTAATTACATTTCTGAAATACTGTTTCTGAAACACAATACAAAGATTACTAGGGATTAAAGTCAAAGATTATTGTCAAAAATAAACAATTACAAACAAATAAAGGAACAGATAATATTAGAAAGTAGAAGCCAAATGAAATATACTGAAGGAAAAAGTTTAGTTAATCTTATTTCTGAATACTGGAAAGCAGAAATCCAATAAAATGTCTTGAATGGAAAAATCTGGCTAATCTCATTTCCGAAGGAGGAAAAAAGAAAAGGCGGTAGCCTCAAATTACCCGAATGAATAATCCTGGAAATTATAATAAGACTTCTAAAAGGAAATTCCAAAATATCGAAAAGATAAATTAAAAGTTCACTGTATTACGTCTACCCAAGCCACTCTGGAGGGCATCATTTGACAACGTTCAGAGAAGCAAAATGATAAATGTAAGTAATTAATAGAACTACCATATGACCCAGCAATCTCACTACTAGGTATACATCCAAGGGAATGGAAATCAACTAGAAGGGATACCTGCACTCCCATGTTTATCATGGCTCTATTCCCAATAGCCAAGAGTTGGAACCAACTTAAGTGTCCTTCAGTGGATGATTGGGTAAAGAAAATGTGGTATATATACACAATGAAATACTACTCAGCCATAAAAAAGAATAAAATTCTGCCATTTGCAGCAATATGAATAAACTTGGAGAAAATTATGTTAAGGGAAATAAGCCAGGCAGAGAGAGAGAAATACCACATGTTCTCACTCTCATGTGGAAGCTAAAAAAGTTGATCTCATAGAAGTAGAGAGTAGAATAGTGGTTACTAGGAACTGGGAGAGGAAAAGGGAGAGAGAGGAAAAGGGAGAGAGGGATGCAGAGAGGGTGGTCAGTGGATACAAAACATTAGAGAGATAGGAAGAATGGGATCTAATGTTCTATGGTAATAGGGACACTACAGTTAATAACAAAGGACTGTGTATCTTTGAATAATTAGTCGAGATGATGTTGAATGTTCCTAACAGAAAGAAGTGGCAAATGTTTGAGGTGATGAATATACTAAGCATTCTGATATGATTACTGCACACAGTATCAATGTACCCAAATATCATATTGTACTCTATAAATATATACAATTATCATAGATCAACTAAGGCAAATAAATTAAAAAGAGAGAAATAGAAAGTAGAATAGTGGTTACCAGAGGCAGGGAAGGGGGAGGAGGGGAGGGGTGGGGCATAGAAATGTTGGTAGATCAGTACAAAGTTACAAAGTTACAGTTACATAGGAAAAACAAGTTCTGGTGCCTAAGGGTGACAATAGCTAATAATATTGTATATTTCACGATAGTCAGAAAAGAGGATCTTGAATGTTATAACCACAAAGAAATGATAAATGTTTAGATGATAGATATGCTAACTATTCCAATTAGATTATTATACAATATATACATGTATTGAAACAAGCTGTACCTCATAAACATGTACAATGAAAAAGTAAATTTAAAAAAAGAGGATTATCTGAGAGATACATAGCTACATCCTCAGTTATATTAAAGGTTTGCCTTTAAAAAATAAATATAATTAGTCAAAACATCACTTCTGAAGATGTTCTTCCATATGCCCAAGATGGGCTGTTATATCAAAAGATAAGATGACAAATTTAAATTGTGTCTTTAACCAAAAAATAGATTAAAATAATCTAGCACTGCCTGTTCTGGGAAATGGAGGGAAAAAGAACACTCAAGTGGTTTTAATACATATGCCATATTTTAAAAAGACTAACAGTACAAAAGTCTAAAACCTGTAAAATGAAACATAAAAAACAAATAAAAACAAAAAAGGAAGCTGTAAGAGTTCAATAAATATTAATGATTGACTCTGTGATTTTCATTTTCTTCTCTTATCACAAACCAAACTTCTGAATATATTTTCTAAGTAGTTCAGTGAAGTACTCTTCTTCCATTTGTTTTAAAAGTCGGACTATTAAACCACTATTATCAATAAAGTTCCCACAGAAAATACCTTGTCTTATGATTTCCATGCACATCAATATTGCCTCTTCACGTTCTCCTCTGGCAAAGCGAATGTTGGCTTCACCCATGAGACCTCTCAGAGCTCTGGGAAGTTTACTCCGAGGCCTTTTCTCCTGTATGGAAAAAAAGTGACGTTTAGATTAAAATACAATAGTCTTAGATTTCAATTCCAACCATATTAACAAATACAGAACATAATAAAACTGAAATTTTTCTTTAAAACTTTTCAGTCTTCTAAACTCAGAACGAGGGACTAAATGACTGAATTCTGACTCTAACATTAAAGTCTACATTGCAGCAAAAAGTCTAAAACTCAATTGCAGGAAAGAACAGAATTATTCTGTGATACTCTCAACAGAGGAGCATTTCAGAAAATTTTAAAAAACTACAGTTGGGCCAGCCCGGTGGCGCACTGCTACAGTGTGCCGCTTGGGAAGCGTGGTGGTGCTCCCGCCAAGGGTTCGGATCCCACATACAGACCGGCCACTCACTGGCTGAGCGAGGTGTGGGCGCAACACCGAGGGTTGCGATCCCGTTGCCGGTCCCGGT